TAATTTAGTTGAATAGGATTTGTTATTCGGAAAAAGAAGAATGGCTAAGTTTGGATATCTTTGTGGTATTATATTTAAAAGTTTCGAGAAATATGTTTCATTTTTTTGGTGTTTTGCTTAAGCTTCTTAGCTTTCCAAATTTTCGTAAGAATATGTTCAGAATTATTTACCTAGATCAGTCATTACCTTTCTGTTTTACCAGTACTGCCTTTCATTTTCGTCTCTGGATCTATTAAATTTCAATACCTACTCCGTCACAGAAATTCCTCAAAAAATTCCTCTATTCTTTTCATAATAATTTCAAACCAGTTCACAACGATAATATCCTCACGTGAATAATTCCAAAGTCACACCACGTTCTTAGAAGCAGCGTTGTGCAAGCCCCGATTAACTATGTGCATTTGTTAAACATTTAAACAACACGTTAACAGACCACATTCCACGACACGGTCGATGCAATACTGCAATAACAGATCATAGTAAATGCATCAATGAAACATAAATACCGATGATAACAGTATCAAATTTTGAACAGTGCAAGATCGGGTCTCGTATATTCATCTTTGGACCATGCTGTTTGGCATAACACTCGAAATAATACACCGCTGATTGTCGTCTATATATTAATTGGACACGATTTCAATCACTGTTGAGCTTTCTAAATGGACGATGATTCGAAACGCTTTGGGACTCGAAGAGGTTAATTCGTCTGATCAAAGTGATTTATTGTTTATTGCTGGCAAATCGAATTGCTGGACGAGATTCAGGCTCTCGTGTCTGTCATTTGCCGGGCGAATGCTCCAATCGATTAAATCGTTCGAATCGGCCACAAATCCTTTTTCTGTGAGTTTGATATTGACAGCGGTTATCTGTGGCTCGGTGTACTTAATAAACTCGTAATTCAAAATGACACAAAGGATTTGTTCGAAATACACGCGCGGCGGAAAAAGTTGAAAATGCATGAATAAATGAAGAATAATCTGGAATACCTAGAAAAAAGGAACGGTTGTTTTTGTTACTTTAGTCAGCTGTAAAGGTAGTATCTAGATTCATAAATTTTCTTGTTGTTGCATGGTACATCCAATATATGGCAAACGTGAAAAAATATTTAAAAAGCTGACACGGCGACTTCAGAATTTATGAAGCGTTTTAAGTTTTCTTGCATTTGGGCGTATTTCAAGAAGATTTAGGTATGTTGAAAGTGAAATATATTGGAAGGTCGAATATTAATATTTGTGAAGACTCTACGTTCAATATTTCGAATCAGACTTGAAAGCATTACTTCTATTTCCAGATCGATATAGTCCACCCTTTTGAACGCGGTCATTTGTTCGAAATTCCATCCATTAACGGTAATAAATATTAGAATTCATGTATTTATTCAGGAATATATATGTACAAAAAAAGGAAAAGTTCGAAATTTGTAGTAAATTTGGTACTTCAAATAAAACTCGAAATTTTCTCTTCTACTTTTATCTATAAATTTATGAACTACACTTTCTCAGATACAGTCAATTATCCCATTATTTATTATTATTATCATTTATTATTTATTATTAAATAATTATTTATTATTCGTAATAATTATTAAAATTTAAATACTGTTTATAAAAATGAAAATAAAATAATATAAGCATATAAAATAATATTATATAAGGGGAAAAAAGTAAACCGAAGGAAAATATTGAACATTTACGTTTCATAAAATTTTCTATCCTATTTTTAAATAAATCCACCCTCTTCCAGTTCAGAAACCCTCACAATTTTTAATTACGTCGCTGAAGAGCATTAATCGATCTCGACTTTCTCTCCGGCAGCTCTACCAATATTACGTAACAAAACCAGTAGCCAGTTATTCGAAATCTCATTCGTTGTCGATAATAATTATTAGAATCATAGATATTACGTAAACTGTCGCAACATGGGGGATGCGAACAAGATACAGGGGTGGGTGACTTGGAAATTGCGTGCTCCAGATGAGTGCGAGGAACTTTGTGTAGATCGGGAGAAACTCGATCTAACATTGGTTATTCGAAAGTTGCGAATTCGTAGCGGTTGAAACGCGTCGATTTATTCGCTGGAAGCCCGCCACGAAATGCCATGGAACAGCGGAACGAAGTTGACATGGCAATTACATGGACGTCGATAGGGTAGCGGAATTAATTTACCGACGGAGCTAAAACGCGCAGTGCTTCGGGCCGCACCAATGGTGATGATTCTGTATGCTGGAAAACACGCGATAAACTCGTTTTCGCGGGGATGATTAATTCTAATACGAGATTAAACACTTTGGGCGAGCATAATTCGCGTGGTCCCGTTTCCCCTCTGGTAGGGTAGAAGCTTTAATGTGGGAACCCTTAATGCTCGCAACTTTTGCTATATGAACATTCTGTTAGGCAAATAGTCTGTTCTCTGTGTTATTTTCGGGAAGATATTTATTTTTTGAAATGTTTGTATAACGCTATAATTGAGTATAGCCGGTTACAAAAATATCAGACAAACTTTTGGAGGTTAGTTCTTTGTTTTGCTTTCTGCGTCACTTCATTGTACTGTTTTTATTATTATTATTAATATACTATCGGTTAACATAGTTTATTATTAGTGATCTTTGTACATTCATTTAAGGTATAGAGTATGGTAGTCCAAGTATAGGGGAGTTCGATTATCTTTGTGGCGGACTGTACAATTTAATGAAATACAGCGTAGAAGTTCTATCTGTTTAATCTTACTTTTCTCTTCTTATCCCTTTTTCCTTTTTAGTTCTGTTGCGGTCAGTTTTTACGATATCTTATATTTACTGTACCGGCACGAAGTCAAAGTTTTTTTATTGGCCTAAGGATTTTTTTATGATTTAAGAAACAAGTAAAGTGCAACTGTAAACGATTGCGGAAAAGCCATTAAATGCAAAACAAAATAAGAAACTGAGAAATATTTTGCATCTTATTTTTGACTATTGTTACTGGAATCGCCCTAACTGGATTACAAAGAAATAAATAAAATCGCGTGAATCTCCTTGGTCGCAAATAATATTTTTTTATTCCGATCAAATTACCATAACTAGTGTCTGTATCTGGGAGGAATTTTCACTTGTAATTACTAATAGGCAAATAGAAAATAGTAATAGAAACAGAAGTACAAATTTCAGTCACATAGCCCACTATACTTATCTATACTCGATTGGATTATACACTGTTATCCAATTAGTTATTCCGTGAGTCATTAACCGCGTGAATGTCGTTACCTGCTACCATTTTGAACTCCTATTTCAT